AGGGGGACCACGATGCGCGTCAAGAGGCGGAAGACTTCCTGCTGGGTACAGTGGACGTCATGCTCAACTCGCCAGACGCCTTCGAGACGGCTTTGGCGTCCCACGAGCTAAGTGAATCCCCCATAGGCAAACGTCCGAGTGAAGTTGAACTCCCCCCCATGACCGTAGCCGGTGTTGCCAAGTCTGTTTACAGAGAGGGGTGGGAACAGGCCATGAGGGAAAAGTTTNATGACTGTAGCCGGCGTTGCCAAGTCTGTTTACCGAGAGGGGTGGGAACAGGCCATGAGGGAAGAGTTTGAAGGGCACTTGGGCACGGGGACGTTTTCATTCGTAGACGGTGCGCCAGAGGGGCGCAGGCCTGTGAGCTCAAAGTGGTGTTTTAGTTGAAAGACCACCAAGGAAGAGAAGATAGAAAGTTCAAAGCGCGCCTGGTGGCTAGGGGGTTTTCGCAAATCCCGAATGTCGATTATTTCCATTCGTCTTCCCCTTGCCCCTCATCCGCATGCACTAAACTGATGCTTGCGGTAGCAAATAAGAAGTGCATGAAACTCAATCACTGGGATGTGAAGCAGGCGTATACACACGCCACGCTAGACGNCCCATGACCGTAGCCGGTGTTGCCAAGTCTGTTTACAGAGAGGGGTGGGAACAGGCCATGAGGGAAAAGTTTGAAGGGTACTTGGGCATGGGGACGTTTTCATTCGTACGTAGGTGGTGCGCCAGAGGGGCGCAGGCCTGTGAGCTCAAAGTGGTGTTTTAGTTGAAAGACCACCAAGGAAGAGAAGATAGAAAGTTCAAAGCGCGCCTGGTGGCTAGGGGGTTTTCGCAAATCCCGAATGTCGATTATTTCCATTCGTCTTCCCCTTGCCCCTCATCCGCATGCACTAAACTGATGCTTGCGGTAGCAAATAAGAAGTGCATGAAACTCAATCACTGGGATGTGAAGCAGGCGTATACACACGCCACGCTAGACGAGGAGGTTTTTCGAAGGCTCCCCGTTGGGTGCGGGGACAAATCGCATAATATTGTTAAGGCTGAGCGTGCGATTTACGGTCTGAAGCAGAGCGGTAGGCAGTGGTACCACGCTGCTAATACACTAGTCGAGAACGGGTTCGAACAATGCAAGGCGGACCCGTGTGTTTTCCGCAAGATGGTAGACGAAGTCGTGGTGATGATTATCGTGATCTACGTGGATGACATTTTGGTGGCTGGGTCTGACGAGGATTGCGAGGAGTTGCTTGCTTCTCTCAACAAGAAATTTCCCACCACAAACCCTGGAGAGTGTCAATGGCTTGATGGGTGTGCCATCGTGAGAGATGTAGAGGCTGGGACGCTTGGAATCTCCCAAACCGCGTATATCGACAGCATGGTTAAACGCTTCGATGTGCAATCGACTTACCGCATCCCCGCTACCCCTGGTGCCGATCTAGGGCCGAAGCGAGAGGATGAGGAGGGAGGGGAGTGGCCGGTGAGGGAGGCCATCGGCAGCATGATGTGGGTGTCGACTTTCTCGCGTCCAGACGTCTCGTTCGCCGTGCGTGCGGTAGCGCGCCTCGCCCACGCCCCGGCGAAGAGGCACTGGGATGCCATCCAGAAGATTCTCGGCTACTTAACGGAGACGAGGGACCTCGGCATCACCTATCAACGGGGATCGGGGTCAGGGCTGGCCGTGTACGTAGACGCTAGCTACGCCGACAAGGAGAATAGGCGTTCGTTCGGTGTCAGGGTTGGCGACGACGGTTGGAGGTATCGTAGCCATGGTAGCAAGACGCAGAGCATCGTGTCTTTGTCTTCGACGGAAGCCGAGTACATTGCTGCCGGGGAGCGTGTCAAGGAGGCGTTGTTTGTGCGTGATGTGCTTTCGTTTGTTGCCCCAGAGACCAGTGGTAGCAGCATCCAGGTCCTTGAGGACAACCAGGGGGCCATAGCGATAATGCAGAACCTCCTCAGCTCAGGTCGCACGAAACACATCGACGTGAGGTTTCATTTCATCCCCGGATTGTTTAGGTCGGAGGAAATTACGGTCAAGTTTGTTTCGACAACAGAGCAACACGCGGACCTCCTTACCATGGCCCTTGGCAGGGCCAGCCTGCAGTACCCCCGGCGCAAGTTGATTAGCTGTAGCAGTTTTTAGCACTTGCCTTGGACCTTCTAATGATTGCGGCCGTTGTTATCCGCTGTGATAGCGACGGTTCTTGAGGTGGTAGGGGTCATTTGAGGGGTTTTGCCCGGACGCCGGGTTTCCCTCCATGTATTACTATGTATGTTGGTATTTCTGATTTATGCAGGGGCGTTCTTGCCCCATTGATGGTTAGTCACTTGCCTGAAGAACCAGGGAGGGTATTCGTGGGTCTGCGAACATTGGTGTTGGATACATGTCCAATGTGCTGTATGAGTTTGGTGTCTCGCAGAGTGGTAAGCTTGCCGTTTGGTAGGGGGCACCGCGATGAGTCACGGGGCCCCTCCTTGGTATAGGACCTGCCCGTGTGGGGCACTTCCTTTTTCGTTCGTGTGAAGGACGGTCGTCGACCTCTCGTGAGGTTAATACATCACCAAAACAGTCTCACCCGATAAGTAAGTGGCGTAGGCTGCAAACATGTAGCGTGTAATGTTTCGGCAACGGTTAAAGGCCAAGCTCCATATTTGACAGCACCCTCAATTCTCTACGATCTCTCGACGTCTACGCAGCAAATATAAGATCAACACATCACCATATATATGCATCACATGCAAATCTCAAGTAATAGTAACGATGGGATAATTGAGATTTGCATTGTAAGCGATGGGATAATTGATGTGCGCGCGAGGAGTAGTGCACTGCTGTAGAGAGGGTGATGAACTGATCCTCCTGTCCTGTGGACAACACCATGACTACATGCACATGCGTCTCACGAAATACAGCGCATTGAAAAACAGGATGCCCCGGAAACTACCGTGTGCACAGAAGAACCTCCCAGTAAACAACCGCATCTGGTCATCATCCATCGCCCACCCGCCACACAGCTAGGATTCTTCCCTTACATGAAGATCCAGGTCAGCCCCTCACACGCCATCATTCTACAAGCAAGTATCTGTAGACTTCAAGCAACATGGATGGCGCCCGTGGTCATGTTCTGCTAACGATCCTGTTCCAACTGCTTCCTCTCCTCCTTCAACGGAAAGCGCAAATATTCCAATAACTCGTGCGCAACACCCTACTTCTATGTACGTACGTACTTCGAGGAAAAAAAAAAAACACTCCTTCCTATTGCCAGACAGGCTCAAGAGCAAACATATACTACAGTCTAGCCTATACCTTGACCTGTACATCACTATCCATAGATAATCGATGTCGATGCTTCCAATCTTCGCACGCGTATGGACCTACCTGTGGTACGCATCCTAGTACACGCACGCGTATTTCTGAGTAGCACTCCAAAATATATTCATTCATACTTCAAGTACACTCTCAAGAGAAGCTTATCCCTTCATGATGCACAGTATTGGGGTGAAACCAGGCGTTCACGACGACAAAGTGTTTTGACATAGTCTAGATCAATTCGTATAGACTATTTCCCCATTATTCAATCAGAAAGACACCTACTACCTGCAAACAATGCACACGAACCCAGCTATATCAAGCAACAGCGATGGCGAAGGTATCCGCCATGAGCTATGCGTACAATCCGTCTTATGTGGTGATTAACAAAGACCAGGAGGCTAAAGGGCGCCCAGAGGTTGGGTTCGCAAAAGTTGACAGCACACCTAGACTAAAGACCAACCGCTGCTGCGTCCAGGCTCTCTGGGCTCCTGTCCCGCTTGTTTGTGCCGCATACATCGGGTTATTATAAAGGAGCTCCAGCTGTTGGAAGCAGCTGGGTCCTTAGGTAAAGAAAGAGGTACATTCGCTTGATGCCTTGTCTCCACGATTGTGTAGAAATGAGATGATGATGTTGCTTGAATTGAGAGCGAGGAAGTTCTGGTTGAAGAGGGGATCCTCCTGTCAACCAGGGGGCACGCAGATGGCTGAGTCCTGATGTGGTATGGTCCCTCAGAGGAATACCTCCCGGACAATCCTCATCCTTGTTTTTGATGTTCTAGACCAAGATATACCTTATCTAAGCCCTACAGCAACGCTCCTTAACACTAGCCCACCCTGAAGATCACCTTGCAGCTATACTCACAACCAACAAGCTCGATCCAGAAAAGCTGATGATGAATACTCCTGAATCGAAAGATATGACTCTTCACAACAGCATCCAAAGGAAAGGGGAGCGATAGTTATATCCCGAACCTATACCCCCCAAACAAATATTCCGCCCCCCCCGGTGTTTGCCATCGGGGTTGGGTTTTCGTCGCTTGGCAACGACGTTGTAAAACAAGCCGCCCCCCCCGGTGTTTGCCATCGGGGTTGGGTTTTCGTCGCTTGGCAACGACGTTGTAAAACAAGCCGCCCCCCCCGGTGTTTGCCATCGGGATTGGGTTTTCGTCGCTTGGCAACGACGTTGTAAAACAAGCCGCCCCCCCCGGTGTTTGCCATCGGGATTGGGTTTTCGTCGCTTGGCAACGACGTTGTAAAACAAGCCAATTCACTTCGTGAACTCGGCAACCAGGTTACCGTTTTTTTTTTTTTCCTCCGTTTATTTTTTTTGGGCGGTAACCATAATGATGGTTGAGTAGATCATGTTGTGCGGGGTGAACCCTCACTCCGCGCAAGGGGGATGATCGCACCACGTTGTGTTAAAATGGTCAAGCACCCTCGAGGCAGTTACACAGTGCTTACAACTGTCTCTGGAAGTGAAAGCACCAGAAAATAAATTAATTCATACGCAGCTGTCATCCGTACGCAAGGAAGTAAGCACAAGATGCCGAACACCCTTAGCAGGATGCAGCGCACCCTTCATGCGACTCGCCGAATATCTCACGGCGCTTCGCGCTTGGTGATGTGAGAGCCTGGTCCGGTGAGAACCCGGCGTGCTCCGTCCCGGCTTTGTAGGGATGCGAGGTCAATGGTCTAACGACTACGGCATGCACGGCTATGAGTACACCCCCCACCCCCCCAAACGACCATTGAGACAACGCTTGCATGACCAAATTAACAACACAAGTTAAGTGCGGCTCAATGAAGATGTCATTACCCATGGAAAGGGATATAGCTAGGTAAGAAAATGCTGCAAAGCACATTACTATCATAAATGACAGTACAAAATCAATATCAAAACGCCACACACCACTCTTTTACGCGCACGGGCGCGTATCTCAACTACAGGGATGAAAGTGACTACCCGAAAAAGTCCAGAATTACGCCAGAAACGACAAAAGATCAGCTCAAAACCCAAGATAAATGGAGCAATGGGAAGCCACGGCAGGCACACCACCTCAGGGTGATAGAGTTGATTTCGCTGGTAAGGAAGGCATGACTACGCAGATAGATAGATAGGTTGAACGACCAACAGGGCCGACCATGTCTAGGCCTGCAACAAAACCTACCAACCAACATAGCGCAAGGAAGAAAAACTAATCGCTCCAGGACAGCAAAGGTCGAGGGCGGAGAAGGGGATACGACGAACCGCCCGTATCCCGCGCACAACGGCAATATTGAACACATACACACACAACATATGCATATAAAACATATAACACACACACAACACTGAAACTCAGAATCTCGACGGTGATGAAAGTTTCGCCTGAAGGTGACGATGACGGAGGAAGTTTAATGAAGCGGGTGGTGACGAGCGTCGACGAAGGCCACAGGAGAAGGCCACGCCACGGTATGAACTCCCGAAGCATGGAGCGCAGTCGACACGCCTCCGTCAAAGAAGGAGCTAACGTAGTGAAACATGAGTTGCAAAATGGACGATGAAACTTGGGGAAATATTTCTCAAAGTATTCAGTGGCCGAAAGACACCGACGAAACTTGGGGAACTCTTTTTCCAAGTATTCAGTGGTAAATATCACCCACGAAAGTTGGGGAACTCTTCCAACTATTCAGAGGCAAACACCATCGAAACGACACTCGGTATAACGGAACGAATCCTCCATGCTTCGACTACACGCTGTGAGCGATGGCAAGCTAGAGCATGAAGTTTGCTAAAGCTTATTAGGCGTCAACGAAGCAACCAAAACCAACACAGAACATAAAAGCACGACCTATTCAAGGTGCGGCAATGCACTGGTGACTGCAGGCAGCCAGGGAGAAAACTTTATGAAAACACAAAAGAATGCACACAGGTCGCGGCAATCCATTTGGGAAGGCGGGCGAAGGGAGAAACACAAAAGCAAGTGAACACACATAGCCTACATTCAGGTCGCGGCAGTCTAGTAAGAAATGCAGGCAACAAGGGAAAGACATAAGGCACGGTCGATCCAGGAAGATAGTCTTCTGCGACAACCTACTCAGAAAGAGACACACACTCGTCTATTCCCATCAGCAAAAACTGAGGACGGAGAAACGCCAAAGTTGGACAGTGGACACTTGTTTGCTAGTCTTGGCATTATTTTCTTTCGTTTCGTTTCCATTCTTTTCATTTCTTTTTTTTTTTCGTGTCCCAATGTCCAAGACATCAAACAAACAAAACAGAAAACACATACACAAAAGGCAATTTGGAAATGGCGAAGACACAAGCACTCAAAGTTGTAAGACCAGAAACCAAAAGCAGGCAGACACGCTCACCAAGGAACCCAAGGAACAACGCTAAGAAGAAATCCTGAAACAGCTGACGGTATAGAGTCAGCACAAGGCGGAGCCCTGACATTGGTTGTGCCCAAGGGGCGCGAACGATGTTTCTCCAAACACCACGATCCACACGCCGCGTCCAAAACGGTGTAAAATGCCGCGGGCAGGGGAAGAATCCGGGGACCTGGGTCATCGAAAAGTCGAACCACATATAATTCATCCGTCCCGATGGACCCCAATTTGCGACCACAGGCCATCGCGTGCCTTGTACCACACTCTCGCGCCTACCGGCAGAAGAGAGGCACTAAAGCGACGAAGCCAAGTCTCGTGAGACTCAACACTAAATCCTGGAGGCATGTGCCGTTCTCCTCGAGACCTCGCAAGCTCGCGGTGTGCTGCGCGAGAAAGAGTCAGGCGATAATTGCGACTACCCTGCTTGCTTTGGCAAATCTCGTTAGACCAATACCAAAGAATGTGCCGACGAAACTGATCCAGGTCGGATTTCCGTTCCCAGGACGGGGTGATGAGGCCAATCCAGTGAGTTTCGTACAATTCCGCGACGATGCCGTTACGGTGTCGGACCAATTGATGCCCCGAAATGTAGTCCACTTCCAGACGACCAACCGGCGCAGACACATCATCTACAGTGACATGGAACGGCGGGCATTTGCCTCAAAAAGAATGCAAAACATATTGCGAAAGATCAGCAGGCAGAGACTGCGGCAAATCGTTTGTGTCATACGGATTGCGGCAGAGTTTTCATCGCAAGACCGACACACGGGCACGAGCGTCCGGACCTGAAAGATCCGAAGGAAGATCCAGATACAGTAATTTGTTTCCCAAAGGCCGACCATCTGGAGTATCTTCAGCAGAGGCGGGACCTACAGCAAGAACTTTGTAGGGTCCTGTCCAAGGAAGCGAAAATTTTTTCTTGAGCACGTGCTGATCCGTGTCCGTCTTGGCCCCTCGGCGAAAGGTGGCAGCTGAGTTGTACACCCAAACCCAACCTCCAGCGGTAAACGTAGGGAGCTTGTTGATGGCATCAAGAAAAGAGGAGTTGCGACGCTGGACACGCGAAACATTAAGCGCGTTGTACTCACGAACAAGATCGTACGCCTGACGTTCACGATCCACGGCCAGATTGCAGTACTCCAATTGGTCGCGATCTAAACTCTGATGACCACCGACTGTAGGGTGATCAAACACCGAAAGTGGTAAGCGCGGAATTCGTCCCATGTGGATCTCGTTCAGCGCTAGCCCGGTGGCTTGATTGACAGAGTTGTTGTGGGCGAACTCGACGTGTTGCAAAGGAACATCCCAATCCGTTTGCTTCTCGTTGACAACCACAGCAAGCATCCGAGCCATGGGGTGATTTTCACGTTCCGTATCTCCATTAGTGTGCGGGTGGTATGCGCTCGTGGTGACTTTCTTGATCTTCATGGCGTCGTAGATAGGAGAGTTTCGAATAAAACTGCATTCCATTGTCCGACAACAAAGTGGTTGGACATCCCCACTTTGTCATGTACTGGTTCATCAACACACTAGCGGTCCCTTTGGCCGTAAATTCTGCCGCAGTGACTGCAAACATATTCGCACGGCGGCTAAAGCGATCCGTGAACAGTAAGATGTAGGTGTTGCCCTTGACAGCCACCGGCAAAGGTCCGGAAAAATCAACTCTCACCAAAATGCCGGGACCCTGTGGCAGAGGTATGGCAATTTCAGGCCATCGAGTGGTTTGGCGTGAAATTTCGCTAGCCTGGCACACCAAACACGACCGAAGCCACCAGCGGACCGAGCGATCCATGCCGGACCACCAATAAAAGCGCTCCAGCAGCCGTATGGTGCGGTGTACTCCCAAATGAAACGAAGCAATCGTGTGACAAGCACGGAGAACCCATGGGCGCATCAACATCGGCACGTAGATGCGGGGTACTCCAGTATCCGGCAATCGAGTGGTCCTACCTCCAGCACGCCCAACCGGCCGAGGCGCCAATTTATGGACTAGAAGCGTGATGGTGGCGTCGGTTGTATGCAACCGCGTTTTTGAAGCCAATGCCAACACATCCGGTAGCTTAGGGGAGCGAAGGGGTGCAGGTACATTCAACGAGCCCGACGGAGGTGGGGAGGGAGAACCTCGGGAGAGAAAACGCATGGCGACAATGCACTCACTCTCTCGCTGTTGCTCCCGAGGCCAATCCACAGTGTTGAAATTCTGGACACAATCCTGTAAATAGGAAGAGTCCTCGATGGTTGGATCACAAGAATCTCCTGACGAACCAGCCGAAGAAGATGCAGGAAAATGCGCGGTCCCAGGTGACGACTTAGAAGAAGGCGAAACCGGGGAAGAAGGGGTCGTAGCCGACGATGAAATCACCGGCAGTACCGAGACAGTCGACGAAGGCGCCGATGTAGGCGTCGCGGGAGTCCCACACTAGCGGGGAGTAGTCCCAGCTGCCTTGGTCGTCTGACAAGACCTGCGATGGCGACGAGCAGGCGACGAAGCACGAGGGACTACAGTAGCCCTTGGCTGTCGCCTAAAATACGTGGGGCCAGCGACAGGAAAACCTGACGCAGCTGAAGTCTTGGCCCTAGTCCTCGAAGAAACAAGGGGTCTTTGTTCCGGCAACGAAGACAAAACGTGGACATGCCGGCGTGGACAATGCGACGTGATAGGTACGAAAGGAGACGTAGAAACAAGCACAGTATCTCCAGAAGCGGGAGAAACCGTCAAAACCTCCGAAGAACTCCTGCAATCGTCTCCAGAAGGAGGCGAAATGCAAGCTCGTCCGTGCGTGGTCCATGTCTGCGAAAATCTCCGTAGTCCGAATCTTCCAACGCAGAGGGTGGAAAAACGCCATCGGGACAAGGAGGGCGAGCCCACCCAAACCGACCTCCGGTTGTTGTTGTTGTTGTTGACTTCACATTAAACCGTATGCCAGTTGTCAACCCATGTCTAAGCAAAAGCTTGTCGAGGAGCGAGGGGAAGAAGGAAGAGTGAAGAAGACGAATGATAGGTGAACCTGATCGATAATTCGGGTGGCTCAGTTCTGTGTGTGTGTTGGGAGTGTAGAGCAGCTCGGCCATGACGGGCCGTAGATGGGTAAAAAAGTGGTGGAAAACGTACTGGAAAACGTATTGTATTCTGTCACGGCACAGCATGCGTCACGCTCATCACGCTCATACTACCAAACGGATCTCTCTGAACCTCCATCAAACTCTTCTCACTTCCAAGGAAAATACCCAGAAAGTGCTGATTCCTCCGCATCCTCATCAGTGCAATTTCCGTACGTACGTACCGAAGATATCCCGTCGAACTATGCTACGAGTACCCCCAATATATCTAATAGCCCCCCTGCTCGTATGCATCGTCATGTTTCGGCAAAAACCATTTTTTCCCTCTTCTTTACCATCATCTCCAAAACAAGAAAAAGTCCTCCAAGACAGTCACAAGAAAATCCCACCACAACTCCAACACTCTTACCACCTTCACCAGACTCTCTCTTTCTCTTGTCCAATCTCGTTTCTCTCTTTCTCTCTCCTCATACAGAATACGAATCGACCCCAAAACACTTCCTTCACTGCAAGTTCATCACAAAGTCACGGCGCAACGCAGAAGAGTCCTTGCTAATAGCCTTCGTCAAGAAATCTGCATGCTGCAATTGCGTCGGCACATGAGTAACTGAGATCTCCTTCCTCTATACCAGCTCCCTGATAAAGTGATGCCGTACATCGATGTGCTTCGAGTTGGAGTTTGTGATCGGGTTGTGCCCAATCTTAATCGCTCCCTGATTATCCTCGAACACCGGGATGCACGGCATACTTGCATCTGGCAACATAAAACGACACACCTGCCTCAGGAACAACACTTCCTTCGAGACATCGGCAATTGCCACATACTCTGATTCCGTGGTGGAAAGCGAAAAGCACTTCTGCATCCTCGAAAACCAAGTCACACACCCTCCCCCACACATCACTAGCCCTCCTGACACCGATCTTCGGTCTGCCGCCTTGCTTGCATAGTCGGCATCCACAAACACCCTTGTGCTCATCCCAGTCACCACGCCCCTCTCAAATGTAATCCCCATCCAACTCGTCCTCCGTAAGTACCCTAAAATACCGAGTGCTGCCTTCCAGTGCACCATCTTGGGAGATGCACCATACCGCGCTACTGCTGNCAAGTCACACACCCTCCCCCACACATCACTAGCCCTCCTGACACCGATCTTCGGTCTGCCGCCTTGCTTGCATAGTCGGCATCCACAAACACCCTTGTGCTCATCCCAGTCACCACGCCCCTCTCAAATGTAATCCCCATCCAACTCGTCCTCCGTAAGTACCCTAAAATACCGAGTGCTGCCTTCCAGTGCACCATCTTGGGAGATGCACCATACCGCGCTACTGCTGGTACTGCGTTCGCGATGTCCGGCCTTGTTTGAGTGGCCAACCACATCAGGGATCCTACCGACTCGCGAAAAGGGACATCAGCGCACGCTTCGTTCTCGTCAAAGTCGGTGAGCTTAACGCTCACAGGCAAGGGCACGCTCCTACCCCACTCAATGCTGTACTCTGCAGCCAACTCTTCGGCAAACCTCTGCTGCGAAATCATCAACAGCCTTCTCTCTACGTCTCTCTCGTAAAAGCACGCGGAGAACCACCGCAACTCTCCAAGGTTCTTCACGGGGACCATCGCGTTGAGATCCCTGCCAACTTGTCACACCTCTCCTTCTGCCCTACGGCAAACATGTCATCCACGTGAACCACGATGATCATAATCACACGCCCCTCCTCCACCAATCGAAAAACACATGTATCTGCCAGACACTGCAAAAAAATTAAAAGTATCAACACTTCGTCAGGTGCGCATGCCAATGTCTTGACGCCTGCTTCAAACCATACAGGCTCTTGCACAGCTTCACGATCAGGCCAGATAACCTACCACACCCCTGCGGTAAGCGCATGAAAACATCCTCACCAAGCTCAGACTGCACAAAATCCTGCTTAATATCGCAATGGCACAAGTCAGGATTCTGCTCACATGCTAATGCTGCTAACAAGCGCACACTAGACACTGAAACGGTGGGTGCAAACAGTTCTCCAGAATCAATCGAAGCCCTCTGCATGCCCCCCGCGCTACAAGTCTTGCCTTGAATTTCGTCGGCCATCCGTACTCGTCTGCCTTTCAGTAAAAGACCCACTTAGCATTGATGGCGTTCTCTACTGGTTGCTACACCGGACTAAAAGTTCCTGCATCCAACAAACCGAAAAACTCTCACCGACTGAATCATCCCACAACTCTGAATGTTTAGACCGCATGGCCTCTTTGAACGTTTTTGGCACGCGGAGGTCGCTGGCGAGGCAGTGAGGGAGGTCTGGCATCTTGTCGGGCGGGCGCTCAGCGCGAAGAGCGGCGTCCACACCTCGCAAGTGGCGAACATCGTTGCGAACATCTGCGGTCTCCCCCCCCCCCCG